AAGAGCACTCAAGAGGCGGAATTACAGGATATGATAGGTTCATATGCAATGAATACTGCTGCCGTCTCTGGTCATCCTTTTCATTATCTATGAATGCATAGAGCAGCCCAAATTACGTTTGTGAGAGCCTGTGCTGCCGTTGTCCATTTTTCTGCGACATGCGTGGCCTGGGCAACTGAATTGTTATGTTCGGATACATATCCAACAGAAGACGCGGAAGTAATGAACAAGCCTGCCATGGCAGTTACTGCCGTGAGCAAAAACATCAAAAACGACACGGAGCGCCCTTATGGTCGGAGTTGGCAACCTTCGATCCAAACAATTTCCCGCCCTGAATGACAGTTCCTGATATGAGTATTCATGGAATGTAGGCAAGAGTTGGCCTTGGCCGCTTCAGCATCTTATTTTCTAATAACTTGGGTTTCTAATAACTTGGGGTTTTATTATTATTCCAGACTCCAGAGAAGTTTGCACAAGTGACAAGGCGATACCAATGCTGTCACATTGTACGCATCCAAGTTTGCCCATTCCAACACCCAATGATCATTTGACTGCTAAGCGCCAGCAAATGCACTGACGGTATGCTAGCTGAAATCCTTATGTGAAGCCTTATTCCTGTCGCAAAGAAATTGGTAATGCCTCGGCAATGTGTCTTTGCCGATTTCAAAATCGGAAGGGTCCTGCTTTCGCTCGATTATTTATTTGGCTGTTAATAGCTTCGGGTGATAGATTACGGGATGATAAAGTTCAGTCTTCTGCAGACTTGCAAACCGCGAAGATGCCCTTGGTCACTGGTCTCTTCAGAATGGAAATCTGGAAACCTTGGTCTTGAATATGAGCAAAATACTGAAAAGGCATGGATGTTACGGTTCATTTAGGCTCGGATCCTTGTAGCTAACGCTCAGCTTCCTGTCAAGGACCAAGTGTGCTGACTATATTGTCGTCCCTGGGCTCTTTTTGGACCATATAGGCGTCTTCAGGGAAGACAGATACAGTCTCATTGGCGTGGACGTCAGTGTTGACACTATATCCAACGGTTCGACTCGGTCGATCTTTTCGGTGACTCCGACGCTTCTAAAGGGCCAGTGGCTAAAAGATACTGATATTTTTTCAACGGTTCACTGATCAGTTCTAGAACAAGCAACGAAGTCCAAATTTCCTGGGATTATCGTTGGTCTAATCTCTCAAACAACTTCCCGAGGGCCACCTTGAAGAATGGATGTGACCTATCACGAGACGAAGAAAGACCATGTCATGTCAATGTTTCAGCCGTGATTGAGACATCTGGTCAAGAGTCCGAAAGTACTAACGCAGATAAGATGCACTTACCAGCCTTAAGCATATCGAATGTGGTAGCATGGAAAGCCGCACGAAGTGGCAGGGCTAGGCCGGCAAACGGCCCAACATACCTATCTCGGGAAGATCTCGGAGTCTGTTCCATAGTACGCAAGCTTTCATCTAGGAGGTTATCTTGCAAGCCTTAGCGGCTATCGGATTGCCGTGTGGTCCCATGAATTAGAGAGACAATAATGGGCTCATTAGTAGACACCAGATGGTACTTCCCCTACACGAAATGAGTGCATCGTCAAATGATCAATCTGTTGAAAATTCATAGGCACCCATTATTACTTGTATTTAGACTAGACACGTTACTAGTAGAATGTGGCCTTCTAATTTCAGTTTGATTGCATTGGACTTACAGTAGCCGCAGTTTGATCCCTTTCCTCTTCGTTGAATCAATACCGGGCAACAATTCAGATTCTTCTGCGCAAAACATTTGTCAACATGTATATTTGACCTTCCAAGTTGGTGGTTTGATCGCAATCCCTGATGTGCAGAAATGTATCCAAGTTCTAGAAGGGTCATACGCAAGTTCAACGTTTCCTTCACATCAATGGTTTGGGCGCTTTGGTCGTAAAAACGCTCGGAGTTGAGGTTCGGCGGAATGAGGGGCTTCCCCGTAGTCCGTCCGCCTGATCACCCCATCCCCAGGACTCGGGTCAGGGTCCAACCTGGTCTAACGAAATCAGAGTTCAGGCTTTAAGGCTTGGTCTTTTCGGTGTGGACGGACGCGAGCCATCCGCCGGACTGGCCCGACGATTATTGGCTGCTTCACTGAGATATGGACGGTTCACAAGGGACCCTAACGAAACTTCCCCCGTCTGGGGACAGAATTTAACCGATCAAAGTTCAGCAGAGTCTGATACTCCCTGGAGGCGGAGTTTACTTCTGGGTAGGACCATCAAAGACATGTGCGAACGTCGTATAAGTCGCTGTTGGTGCGAATCGCTTTGGACGAACATCAATATGTGCGCACGTAGTGTCACAGTCTCTGCACACCAATGACTCGAGTATGCTAGCTTGCGGTATCTTCACAGTCTTGGGAGAGTTAAAGTTCGCATCTTCCAGAGGATACTTCCTCAAATGCGTGAATGGAGTAGCTCTCAGCTGTTCGGATTCGCTTCGTTCACTTTCCTAGCTCTACGACAGATGGGACAAGTTTGAGTATGCATAAGGTTAGAAAAGTGGCTGAACTCGCCGACCCAGCGACTGGGGTTAAAGCAGGCAGTATTTGAACCATGTACCAACGAATGGGGAGCTTTCAACCTTCTCACGTGGTGGTGGTGACAGGTGTGATGCCGGAGTTGCTGGTGAGCTCGGCCGCTACCCTGCCGAGCTATCACTTGTTCTAATCGTCGCGTGAGCCATGGGATGAAGGATATTATGAACCAAGCTTCTGGAACTCGATGATCTTGGGGTGATTTCGCCGATCACCGTGCAAGTCGCGGGTACACTTACAATACACGCGATCGGGCAGTTAATCACCCGTTTCATCGCTTTATCACGGAGCTATGCGTTTCCTGAAATACAGTCCTTGTCAATACGGCCGCCTCGGAGTTTGGAACACACTATAACGTGCCGCGATAAGAAAGCCCAGGTTGTAATCGGCACGATTAGGCCAACTTGCCATGCGATGTGAAAGGAACCACGGCAGTCACCGCTAGCCAAGTCATTGTTATCGTAGTTGCGGATCAAACACGACTCGCAGAATTTCTGCTTAAGTGAAGCAGCCGGATACATGGACCTCGGGCGGTGTCACAGCCCGCGAAGTTTACTGTTGCACCCTCGCCTCAAAATCCGACAAGCATTCGGCCGGCAGGGCAGTAAATAACGTTTCAAACCATGATGACTCCGCATATTCAAAGAGCATGCTCCCAACCTTTCTTTCTTGCGGTCTTTCAGGTTGCCTAGCTAAGCAACATCACGAACGTGAATTCGATGACAACTCTTCGATGACTAACACAGAGCAGCTTGCTCGCAACGTCGATCCGTCATGGAGATAAATCCAAGCGTCGCCGAAATCTGGTCGCTCTACGCGATTGCGACGACGATGATTGCGCTGAGGGTTTTCTGTCGCACGAAAATGGTTGGAGTCTCAGGGTTCCGTCCGGACGACTATCTCGTCTTCTTTGCCTGGGTAAGCGCATTTCGTGATGGCAATAGGACTGGGAACTGACTTATCGAATTCTAGGCTGTGTACACGACGGTATCGACTATGGCGACCATGTTCGTGTTGGTCGCCCAAGGAAAACATACTTCACTCTTGACACCTGAGCAGCGAGAGATGATGCCGGAATCCGAATTGTACGTGCACCAGTGCTTTGTGCTGTTTTCTTTGCATTTGAAGAGAACCGCAGACTCTGATGCTTTGCAATCTCTAGTTACCTATGGGAATATGGGTCGAAGAATTTCGTGGTGGGGATGTGTTGCTATGCGACGATCGTTTGGACCCTGAAATTCAACAGTACGAGACACGGCACTCACTCCCTATACCGCTACGGGTATAAACTGACATTTGTACTACAGTGCTGTTCTTCTACCGACGGCTAGTCGAAGGGCAGTGGGTAGAAAAGTTCATCTTCCCCGTCATGGGCCTGGTTGGAGCGACTGCGATCGCGATGGTACTCATCATCTTCTTGACCTGCCGACCAATAACTCTTATGTGGCAAATACGACCAGATCCTGGAGGTACGTCGGGTTGAATTTAGACAACAAACAAGTATGGCTGACCAAGCGCCCAGAAAATTGCGTCCCGCAGAATAAGGTATACTTCTACAGCATCCTAGCTTTCAACCTAACAACCGACATGTGTATTATCCTCATTCCTATACCAGTAAGGGCAAGGAAGCTAGCGTTAGGCTTATGTCAGTGCTGATGTGTTTTGTAGGTAATCAGTCTCGTTCGTGCTTCGATATGGCGTAGACTCGGCGTCTATTTCTTGTTCAGTCTCGGAGTTTTCGTCATGACTGCTGCCATCATCCGCGTAATTCTTATCTTTCACGTAAGACCCACCCAAGTTCCTTTGCCATTCATCACGATTTAACCATGCTCTCTCAACAGCCTACCGGGCAGTTCGGGCCGGGCGCTATGTGGTCAATCCGAGAGGACTTCGTGGCCATCTTTGTCGGTCAAGCACCAATGGTCGTCCCAATCTTCAAGAAAAGATTTTGGCAACAGACAAGGATTCGGTGGACGCCAAAGTCTAGTCAAGGGTCCGAAGGGAATGAGCTGAGCAGCGGGATGTCGAATCAAAAGAAGCCTGACCCGTACAGTTTAACGCAGATGGGGTTCACACATATTACGAACATTACGAACATAACGAACGTAACTCGAGGTACTCGTACCGAGGTTACGGTCGTCGGGAAGGACAGTCAAGAGAGACTGGCGGTAGCATCGGAGCGTGTAGCGGGGGAAGGAAGCACACCGCACGGTGAACGATCGGACGTGGAAGCAGGCAACAGTCGCTCATCGAATATGGATATGGCAAGCCGTAGTCTCGAGATCGCGCGTGGCCCGGACCCAGCAACTTGGCGGAGGGATACCATTACGAGTATTATTGAGATTTCAAATGTCTATAAAGATTTGTAGCAGGTATACCCAGGTTGAGCAGCGAAAACTTTACGACTCGATGAAACGTAAACAGACAGCCAGCATTCCATTCAAATGTTTGACCTGAACACAACCCACTTCTTGATCAACAGTGAGCGCGCGACGTAGAAGCAAGCCCCGCCCAGCACCACGGTACCAAGGTAAAGTGCGGCCGCCACCAATGGTCCTACCTGTTCCAATAAAGCGCCCCCAGCGGGCAACGAGCCTAGAGCACCGAAAGCAACGACAAAGGTACAAGTTCCTTAAAAGACCGATGTAAGCATGACTCGACGACGTGTAGAAAAGCAAATATGTCGAGAACATTGTGGAACACATACCATAATATCTTCCATAATCCTTGGGATCGCATGTTTTCCCAACGCAAACTAGAACACGGTCAACTCAGAAATATGATGACTTGTTTGATAGACTCTGACCTGGTGTAATAGAGAGAAAAGACCCCGATCCGAATCCCCATAGCCCAGCAAAAGCATACAGAACACCCACAGACTTGGTGCCGAATGGAACAAACAGAACCGCAGTGAAGACGGAAGTGAGCGTTACCATGAAGAGAATCACATCGAAATGACCTACATGGTCTCCCGCAAAGCCGGGTAAAAGACGACCCAGGCAGGAGCAGCCATTCAGAGTGGCAACGAGGGTGAATCCCGAGCTGGACGGAAAGCCGGCCTCAACCGCGAACGTAGGGAGGAGAACGCCAATTCCGATGATTGAGATCTCGAACAAGAAAAGTCCAACTGTTATAAACAAAAATGGGGCGGATCGGAACGCTTCAAAGGTGATGGCTGCGGATTTCTTCTCGGTCGGGTTTGCCAACGGGATAGCCAGGCGGGTGAACGGCAGAAGGCACAGTGACCCGACGCACATGAAACCAAGGATAATGAACCCAAGCATTCGGGAGCTCCAAGCCCAGCCTATTCCTGGTAGAGTTCGACGAAGAATAAGAGGGAATATGACTCCGCCAAATGATGAGCCAGCCAAGGCTGCCCCCATCGCCAAACCACGCCGTCGAGAAAATAGCTTGCTAATCGAAGATATTGCAAGGGATGAGGATACGGCGGAACCAACCCCACTGAGAAAACCTAGACAGAGCAGGAATTGCCAGTACTCTTTGCATTCAGCCAAGAAGAAGAACTTGGACACTGTGAGTGCTATCGCGACTGGGGCCAAGAGTTTGGGCCTGTAGAGGTCCATCAGAGGTCCGACTTGAAGACCAAACAGCAAAGCGAGAGCAGTGTCGAGCCCAGTGATCCAGCCTATATCTCTTGCAGAATAGTTTTGTAACTGATTGAGCTGCAGGTAAGACTGAAGAGTTCCGATGGACTGCGAGAAGCCTAGTAAATTCAGTTGTGAGTTCTTGAGCATCGTGATAAGTTGGCGAAAGGTTTACTTACCGAAGGATGAAGCGAGAAAAAGCGATGAACCAATAACGCATACCCAGCGGGAAAGCTCTAACTCTTCTTTCGATGATTTGTGAATGGCTTCATTGTGATGTTGATTTCGCAATCGGGCTCTGCTGTCGTAATCATGGTTCCAGGGGTGCGATGGCGGGAATCCGGTGTCTCCATGACGTAAAGATTCAATAGAAGGCTCTTCAGATCAAGTATCACAAAGGATTGACAGATGTCAGATATGCTACAATTCAGCGGAATTGACGTCTCAATAGCTACCAGTTTTCATCCTTCGGGCTTCGTCCTCATCTAGAGCTTTCGCCATGTTCGCTTCGAATTTGTTGATGGCGCTGCCGGATTAGGAAGGACCCTCACCCTGTCAGGCGCGCCCGACAACTGACGAGATGTGTTCTTGCAGAAAACCGGGGGTTACATGACACATTAGACACGTAAAATGTGTCGTTAATATCCACTTGTTGAGCTGACGAATTTCTGAAAATCCATCAGTGGCTTTTCTATGGCTAAGGTGTCCTGGTTGAGGCATGAATTCTGAGCACAATGAGCCCGTGTTACAACCATTTAGTTGTTTCAACTGACGAGGAGTTCACAATTGAGAGTCAAAATTCTCTTCGGTAATGAATCGAGTTCAACACTCTGAAGCATTCATGTTCATTTATGGTGATAAATCGAAATGATTGCCGGGTATTGATCGAGCCATCATTGATATCGGGCCTCAATGTAGTGACATGCAACGTTCTTGGTTACGGCCGGCTTCGGACTTGAAGTTCTACTGACTAACAAGCTTGGTCGATGGAGCCAATCGACGCGGTTCTAGTGTAAGGCGCACTTGACACATTGAGGCATCATCCAATCATAAAGAGCGCTTTGGTGGGGCCGTTGTGTCTTTAGGTCACCGCGTCGAGTCAATGCATGAAGCGGCCGATAGACTTTTGGCACCGCCCTCCCTCTTTCACTTGTGCAAAACATCTTTCGGCAACGTCGTGCCACTATTCCGGGGCAGCACGCCTTACGCCCTATCTTACATTGAAATCTGCCCGCTATCAGTGTCGATATCCGACGTTCAAGGCTATCGGCAGGGGTGGTGTCTTATCTTCGCAGCGACCTTCCGCCGCAGCTAGTGGAGTGGTGGCAGATTCAGAGCGAAGGCGGAGAAATGGACCAATTCAACGACAAGACGTCTTCGGCAGCTGGGGGGCAGAGTATTGTTCCTCCGTTGACCTCAACCGGTCAGGACTCTCGACCCAACCTTTCTCTCGGTGACATCTCTTCCTGCGATGATGCGCTCCAATTCACATCTTTTGAGCCCTTCAGCGGCGCGAACTCTCCATTCGACTTTGAGGGAGCCCTGGACTACATTGGCGACGGTCTGGGAAGTGGGTGGATCACTCCTTTGGCATCCTGCTCCAACTGTATCACCTGGGGCTATCAGTGTCAAACAGCACAAGAACGTGAGTCCCAAGGTCGCTGTGTACCATGCGCGTCGCTTGGGTGCGAGTGCAGCTTCACAGAAGCCGTAGCAGCTGCTTCTGTAGAAGGAATCAGTAACCTCATTGATGGCAGCAGTCCCGCGTTGGCCGGCATGCAAGCACCTCCTACGCCAGAGGCTTCGAAGAGATCGAGTGGCGCTTTTGACAATGTCACGATCCCGAACATTTCTACCCCGCCCCCACCGAAGATTGGCACAAGATTCTCTCGAGACTCAACCAGGATCTTAAGACAGTGGCTCTCTTCTCACACACACCATCCGTACCCAAATGACGAAGAGAAGAAGATTCTTCAACACCAAACGGGCCTTAGCAAGACTCAAATCACCAATTGGCTCATCAATGCCCGACGACGTGGCAAGGTGCAGAGCCGGCAACGGTCAATTTCGCCATACTCTGGAACATCGACAAGACCAATAGATGTTCCCAGAAGGCCGGGGACGCCAGCACCAAGAATGAGTCCCCGTTACCAGAGTCTGAACCCTCTAGAGCGTTGGGTTGACTCTCCTCCGGAACATGAGCCAGCCACGGTGACTGCGATCGCGCGGGCTGTTGCTTCCACCCACGCAGAGTCTTCGGGTAAGATCACATACTTGAAAATCGCCATCAATTTCTCCTGTTGTATCAAGTCATAGTGGCTAATGCAGACCTAAGATGTAGACGAGAGTTACAACGCCAGCTACACTGACGACGAGCCACCCAGGTCGCATCGATCTTCGGCAAGCAGCGTAGGAACGTCTAGTGGAGGGTCGTTTGCATCTGCATACTCCAACCAGTCCAAGAACTCTGTACCCGTTCCTCGTCCGGCGCCCCGAGGCCGTGTGCGACAACGAAGGCGCGCGAAGCGAACTTCACTTGCATTTCCCCGGAACCAGTATCAATGTACCTTTTGTACCGAGACCTTCAGAACGAAACACGACTGGCAGCGGCACGAAAAGTCTCTTCACATGCCCCTCGAAAAATGGGTATGCTCGCCGGGTGGACCAAAGACTGTCAACCCAGACACGGGCCAAGTCTGTTGTGTCTTTTGTGGCGAGATTGATCCGAGCCAAGAACACATCAACAATCACAACCCTTCCGCCTGCCAGGAACGCACGTTCAACCGAAAGGATCACTTGAAGCAACACCTACGTCTAGTTCATAATGCTGGTCTGCTTGAATGGTCTGCCAAGCTTTGGAGGGTCGCTGTTCCAGACATTAGATCGCGCTGTGGCTTTTGCGGCGCACTTCTGGATACTTGGTCTTTCAGAGCAGACCACTTGGCCGACCACTTCAAGATGGGACAGGATATGGCAAACTGGAAGGGTGACTGGGGTTTCGAGGAGGCTGTGATGGACATGGTTGAAAACTCGGTGCCTCCATGTAAGCTTCCTTAGACGGACCTTATGAAAGAACTGTTGCTGACTTGACAGATCTGATCGAGTACGAGCGCTTTTCGCCATTTCCCTATCAGGCCAGCGGAACCCCTCCAGAGTCTCCTAGAAACGCGTTCGGGCTGCTCACCCTTGAGCTCAACCACTTCTTGCGAATGTTTTTCGACAAGACAGGAAACATGCCTGACAACAAGGAAATACAATTGGAAGCCTGCCGTATCGTCTTTGCCTCGGAGATAACGTCGTCCCTGGATTACGATGTTAGCGCTTTGCATGCGTCGTGGGTGCGGGACTTGATCACATCGTCAGACGAAATTACTCGGAAGGCTCGATTCGGACCCATCAGATCTGTCGCCGAAAGCATGATGGCTGTTCTCCAAGTATGTGCCCACCTATTTTGCAACTCAGGTTCTATACTCGCTAACAGCGCCCAGATTAAAGGCAAACGTAGCCTTTTTGAGGATTGTCCTTGCGAGACGCAGCTGCAAAGCTTTGTTGATGCCCGGAGCGCATTGGGCCTAGTTACCATTACTGATCTGGAGTTGCAGAACGAAGCCTCCAAGATCGTGCTGGGAATGGGCAAGGAATGTGGTGTATCGCCATCTGACTTCGTTGCCAACTGGCTCATCAACTTGATCGGCTCGTCGACGGACTGGCTCACGGGGTTTAGGGCCAGAAAACGACTTCCTGCCCCCGAAAGCTCAACTAAGTCTACAATTCAACAATTACAATCAACAACTCTTGGGGATCAAGGGGGTTCTTTCAATGAACCACTTCTGCAAACAACCACCCACCACACCGGGCTCAGTACTCACGATGAGCGCTTCAACAACCTTTTGAATGAAGAAAGCAGCTCTTTCCTATCTCAACTGGGAGATTTCGATCCCGTATTTACTAGTGATCTTGAATCGGCAGCTCTGACAATGGGCATTGATACCCACGCATCTGCGTCTCTGGTGCCGTCACCAGATGCTGTGCCGTCTCCTCCTGTTGTCAATGCCAATGCACCATGGGAGGGACGAGTCAGCCCGGGTATGAAGGAAGACAAGATGGACTTGGAACTTCCGCCAGCATTGTCTAGGGTAAAGGCCAACTATGCCTTCTTCAACGACGCCAACTTCAACCGGTGGCTAGCCCTTGAGCTCCGACGTTGGGTTGCATCAACCATGTCACCGAACAACCCCAATTGCCACATTCCCACAGATCAGGAGCTACAGCATCAAGCTCGCTTCATTGTTTTTGAAGAGTAAGTTGGACAAGACTCCTAGGGAAATGGCTCTTTTAGGGCTCTTGCTAAACTCTTTTAGCGGCGATCCTTGGAATCAAACATCGGCAGACAACCTAGAATGGTTGCGACGGTTCAAGCGCGATGTTGGCATCCCAGCCAAGACGGATCATGGATTCCCGAAAGGACCACTGGACTCTCAGCCTGGAAACTCGAGCGTCGGAAGACCAAAATCTTCCTGAGCTTATTGACAGTCAAGGTAGGTCGCACCACCGGGTCGGAACCTATTAACCGTAGTAATCTCGGTATCGCCCAATTGTATTTGAAGAATCATTTTCGTTTAATCAATCGAGTCATGAGATCTTTCAGAGCCCCCCTCACTGTGTGCGCGTTGAAGACCGATTGACTACGTTGTGTGAAGTCAAGATTGCCTCGCCTCCGCTTTGTTGGCAACTCTCGCCCTGCCGCCCCCTGAATGACAGGAGTGCCTTCTGATTTTGTAGGGCGATGAAAACCCAGCCAAAGCGGCTCTTGGATGCCGAACAAGCTCTAAGCGACATGCTTGAATTGTCTTGGTGGGGATATCAATCTAGATGCGGCTCCGGGGTTCCATTCTTTTATCATAGCTTCGGACAGGGAGGGCCCGCCGATGTCAATTCGGGCCAAGGCGGGCAACCGTGAAACGGTTCAACATGCACTAAACTCCACTTTCAATGTCGCGATACCAACCCTTTAGCACTCTCTCGAATTCTCGTATCCGCGTCGGTTTGGACGCTTTCCTGAACAGGACTTCGGTACGGAGCCATCATGCCACTGTCACCGTTCTTGGCCCCAAAGAGCTGCGGCTTATGTGTCCTCCAACCGGCTTGAGGCCGCATATGTACGATGCCTCGCTGATGGCAAGCGACTAGCAAGACCCCTGTGGACGGGATTTCAGTTAGCGGGAAAGGGCAGCTCCTCTGTTCCTAATTCTTCCTTCAACCAGGTTGTGTGGGACCTGGCGCGACGTTGTTTGCCCATTGTAGCGGAAATTATTTGTCCGCCACTGGATCGTTTCATGCTCATAATCATAAGGTGGGATTCAAATTGGTGAGGAGAAGGTGGGATCGCTGTGGCCCTGCACGGGGACCGTTGCCGATCATCCAGAATCGAAATGATCTAGAACCCCCCGAATCAACAATTTGGTATTTATCGTATAAAGACCGAGATCGTTGCCAAGCTCAATCGAAGCCCTTTTCGTCTGGATTGTTCCATTACCAAGCCGCTAGATACCCCCCTTGCCATCCTTCTTTTCCCCAGATTCCGCTCTTTTGGTTCTTCTTTTTTATCCTTATCCCTGTCACATTCGTTCCAGCAATCATCAATATGCGCACCTCCACTGCCGCCGCTCTTCTTGCCGCTGCCGGCGCCAATGTCGTGAGCGCTCAGGACAAGGTCGGCTTCGGCCCGGCCTTCTCTCTCGGCCCGACCCAGAGCTGGATTCGGGAGGCCAACACCACTCTCGTTCTCCCTCCTGTTCCCAGCCCCCAGAAGGACCGTCTTGCACTGTGGCCCGGTATGGGTACCAGCGGTGGTGATCTGATCCAGGCTCTGGCTGTCTCCTTCAGCGATCCCGCTGCCAACTGCGGTGCTAAGGCCGGTCAATGGTGCACCTGGGCCAGCACCCTTCAAGGTAAGCCATCAGACTTCGATGGACAGAGAATGGAGTTGGAATACTAATATTTGCAATAGGAGAGCAGCTTGGAGGCAAGCAGGTTCCTGCCTCTGCTGGCGACAAGATCACCATGCACTGTAAGTCGTTTCTCATATCCGAAAATCTCTCGCGGTCTTCCAACAAGTTGTGAATAGACAAGTACAACGACAGCACCGGAAAGTACGACCAGACGGTCTCTCTCAACGGCAAGGTTGTCTCCACGCTCTCAACCAGTAAGTTCCGTCTATCTGACCTTACACCGAGTAAATGCTGACAGACTCAAAGGCTCCGGCCAGGCTCAGGGATGGGGTACTGCCGTCGAATGTCAAGACGATGCTTGTGTCGGCACTGTTGTTGCTCACAGTAAGTTTTCCAGCAAAAGAATATTCAAAACTTAGGGGAGAACTCCTCTAACAACCTTGTCAGAGTACACCGACACGACAATCATTCTGAACGCCGCCGATACCACCTTCAAGGGCACCCTTGGCCTCAACGAGGCTGACTCTACCGGCCTCACAACCTCCGACAGCAAGACCTTCAAGGTCACTACTATCAACATCCATTCGCACACCTTCAACAACTAGATGTTTGTGAACGGGTCCAAGCGACAGAATCATATTCTATGTACATACTTCAGCGTGGCTAGGTACCACATTCATACATATAAAACCAAGTTCATCGCTTGCGATACACGAGTCCCCTCGATGATTGACAACACTTCCTGAGACAACATCTGTATTCTTCCTAAAGTCTACATAATCCAAAACTTGAATGATGTGAAAGCCTCTTTCTCCAGTGCTGTAGGTTGGTCGAACTTGCCAGGCCAGGCTGTCTAAAGGCGCATCGAACCCACTTCTTCATACTCTGGCAGTTCCCACTTCACATTCTCCTTCAACAGCCACTCCCCAAGCACATTAAGTCTCAGCAATGAGACCAAACCCAGAAGGAAGTTCAGAATGCCGATTCCGAATGGTGTCGTGGGCCAGATCTTCCAGATGAAAGCATCGCCTGAGATGCCATGCTGTACCTGATCCATGAAAGGCCGAAACTTCTGTTCGTAGGCTCTGAGAGCCTTCCCAAGACCGTCCTTGGAGTCCTTGTTACCGCAATGTTTGCTGATCTCCCCAGCCAGGACGTACGCGCCAACAACAGCCGATGTTGTGCCCATCCCAGTCATCACTGAAGGGCAGTATGCTGCGTCTCCAACAAGAGTAACGTTGCCCTTCGACCAACCATTCATCTTGACGAGGCCGATATGTTCGCAATAAAAGTCGGTCGACTTCGTCATTCTCTCAAGAATGTCTTTTGTCTCCCATCCGGCACCATCAAAGACCTTTGCTATCGCTTCCTTTTGCTTCTCAACTCCCTCCCGGCGAGCATTCTTGATCTCCTCCGAGTTAGTTCTGCACATGAGATAGATCTGTGTCTGGTCGGGACTGTGTCTCCGGGTCATGATGGTGCGATTGTTGGTGCCGATGTAAGCGGTGGCATTGTATCCCTCCCCCTCCTGAATCGGCTTGGGAATCGTGAAGTACCCAGCGTAGGAACCCCCAAGGGGTTCGAAGCCATCTGTTTGCTTCGCCCCCAGCATCATCTTGCGGGTACGAGAGCCTTGCCCATCGGCACCTACCAAAAGGTCGAAGGTATCCGTCTCCCCGTTGCTGAAGAGCACTTCTACTCCGTTGCCCATCTGCTCGAATTTCTCAACGGACGTACCAAAGACGTACTTGGCTCGGTTCTTGGTAGCGTCGTAGATGATGCGACAGAGATCGCCTCTCATGATTTCGTATTCGGTTGTGAAGCTTTGAAGTCCTTTGCCGGACGTGTTGGCTGGGAAGTAAGCGCGGCGTTGTCCGGAGCTGTCGACTATCAGCAGGCCCTGCTCAGGAGCTGACTTGGCGCGGAAGGCCTGATCAAGACCCATCCGTTTCATGACTTCGATGCCGTGGCCGCGGAGGTCCAATTGAAGACCGGTTGCCCGCAAAGTTGGGAACCACTCGACCACTGTGATATCATGGCCAAGCTTGGAAAGCCAGAATGCCAAAGAGGTCCCGGCGATACCACCGCCGCTGATAAGGATTCTCATGGGTGCCATCTTTGGTGCGGAAATGGTAAGATGGTGAAAATGCGTCGTAATGCGAAGTGCTTCTGATTAGAAATGCAATATGGGAGAGGGATAATCCATGCTAGATTGACCACCTTCTATACTTGTTTAAATAAACATCTGGGACGGTGAGTGCCGTCATAAGAGTGTTGTTCAGTAATGTCCGCCTGGACGTAAATATCTCCGCTCAAGGCCGTCTGACGCCGTCTAGGGCCGTCCGGATCAGGCAGCCATAGATAGCACCAAGCTCAAGCCAATACATAAGTGGAATTCTCAACAATTGTCCCTGTGGAATCAATTAATATGACAGGCTAAAGCCGGCGACTAAATCTTTCAGCTTGTGCCACCCTCCCCATCGTCACAAGCAAAATGTAGCTGTTGAAGTCACTGGTCGCACTAGGATGTTCTCAAAGTCATTTGCCAAATATTTGTCCAAGAATACAAATTTTTAAATTTTCATGTGGTCTAAGAAGCAGCAAAGTCTGTGTCTGGTAGAAAGAAGTCAAAGTCCCAGTCTATCGCGAACGCTTCTTGTCCCTCGCAATCCACTGTCATCGTGGATGTGTCAGTGCTCCATGGGGATGGAGCATTTTCTAGTCTTCTCTGAAGTACAGAATGGCAGAATTCGAGGCTGTTCTTTGCACTCTGCGCAATCATCTGCTCCCCAGAGTGACCCTCCTCCATTGCTTTGACTTGAGCTACAATCATGCTGAGAAACATGTGACCCTTGATATTAGTATCTCCTTGTCGGATTCTCTCGGCTGACATCTCAATCATGTCTTCGACCGAGCTCTTCAGGAGCGTTCTGTAACGATCGTCCCGATGAATGGTCCCACTCAGCTGCTGCGACTTCGCCACGGCAAGGAATTCCAGACTAATAGTCGCTATGGCATATCTGAATCCTTCTCTGAAAAGACCACCAGACACAGCCATCAGTCGGGAAAACTTCTCGTCAGGTTCCGGAGAAATGATAGCCATGGAAGCGTCCAGGCTGGCTCTGATCGAGTAATGGAATAGGGGGTTCGACCGCGCTTTGCTGGCGAAAGGACAATGCAGAGGTAGCATGAAGCGCCGTACCAAGTAATCTACGAGATTTCGATGGAACTTGGTTATCTCTCGACCCTCAAATCTTTTGCCAAACGCCATATTTTCTCTGCAAGCCGTAGTAATCTCATCGCTGAGTGCAAGGGCATCTGTGTATGAGAGTTCCGAGCGCAGATCATTCAGTAATCGAAGAATCTTCAAGCGGGTCGGAAGGCTACTTAAAAGCAACAGCTGAATTGAGGTGTCTGTGAATCCATCTTTCGGATGCGGTTCGGCCATCTCAGTTGACTGATCCATCTCATCGTCATTGATATTCGATGGGGTCTCTGTATCGAACTCATCAAACGATAGTCTTGGAGGCATGGCTGAGTCCAAAGAGGACTGTACAGCCAGCTCAAGAATGGTTGCCCACAGCCTTCTTCGCAGCTCCGCCTGAAGAAACGACATTCTTGGCAAATGCTTGGGGTCGCGGTGCAGTCCAATTTGCATAGCTCGATGAATGAGCGACCCCATTGATACCCATATCAGGTCTCCGCCGACCGAGAATATTTGGCGTGCGAGCATCGTGAGACAATGGACTTGAAGACCCGACAAGCCAAGCCTGTCTTTCTCCAGAGGCCCAGATAGCCAGCTTTGAGCGGCGTAGACCCAATGGGTCGCAGTTTGCCGGAGCGTGGCATCTCCAAGTTCCGACAAGCTTGAACCCATGCCGATGACGAGCAATATCTTCAGGCGAACATCCATAGTTGTGGTTTCCGGATGATCCCAGTACTCGCAGTACTCGGCCCAAAAAGTTGGTACGTGTAAAATCCGATGCACCAACTCAAATGAGTTGAGGTAGGCACTAACCATTGCGTCGGCAACTTCTCGAGAGGGAGGCATCAAGCTTGGTGATGGGCTTGAAATGTTTCTGGTAGGGCGGCAAATCTTGAGTCTTCTTGCCAAAACTTTGCAACTTTCGTACAGATTGCCGATTTCAATAGCGAGGGCTTGGGTTCCGGCCTCTTGGAAAGATACCTCTTTAGCAGGGTCCTTGGCCTCGATGTATGCTGTAAACCAGGCCAATACAGTTTCAAACTGGTAATTTAGTGAGATTAAAATAGCACTGGTATCATGATGAACACTGACCTACCTCTTCAGATTCTCCCATCCAGTCGCTCCATTTCCAGAGTCTCGTCTTTTTCAAGACAACTTGGGAATCTTGCGGCCCATGGGTACTGGAGAGTACATGACGTGCCAGTTCAGGCGAGCCGAGATTATTTAGGCCCGTCGAGTCTTGCTCAAGTTTTCGTAATCGTCGCAAAAGATCTCGTAGATCTGGCTCTGCTTCGGAACTACGATTCTGAGGGGATATGTTGTGAGTTCCCACGACATTTGAGGTTCCGGTACGTCTCTCATCCGCCCGGATTGTCTGAGCGGAAGCGATGTCCGCAATATCTTGGAACGATCGACCGAGATTGGGTGGCGGTCCCTGTCCTGCTACTGCAGGCGATGCTGGGCGCGAAGCCGAATTTGATAGCGCGCGGCCAGCGTCGCTCCGAGGGGTCAACCCCCGAGTCTCCGGATCGTTTCTGTAAGTTTTGTAGGTGCATTGAATTTTGGCAGAGACGCAGTGCGTGCAGGGGTCGTCGCGGTCGCACTTGATCTTTCGCCGACGGCATTCCAGGCAGGAGAGAGCGGGCCTCCGACGTCGACGGGGTTGTCGCTCCATGAGTAGTGATGGTACTCTATCTCGGCCGTAAAGAATTTGGCGCAAATCGAAAATTCCTGCAAATGTTCAAGATCTTATCTTGTCGTTTGAAATATCCACAGCAGGTAAGGAAAAGTCGTCTCCTGAGGCGTTGAAGAAAACATGTCATTCGCCGTTTTCGGGCGTAAGCGGATATGCCGAGGCGCTCTCATCATCATAAGACCGCTTACGTCCGCCTGCCGCAGTCTGTGGCGGATTATTTCAGCCACACCTCGACTATCTTTCGCGTGCAGCTCCTCCGAATGATCATTCCGGGAACTTGGTGCATCTCGTAAGGTGGTCGGGATGTTACGTGCCTTGGTTTCGTCTAAATATGGGCAATTTTAGGACCATCATGACCCTTGCTGGAAGGAATTGTTCACCGTCAACTCAATGGGGCAATTTCAATAATTCAGTGGCAACGTTACGAACATCAGTTACTTGTGCTCCTCGATCCTTGATCTAAGGCGGCGTCGGCTCGAAGGTGTCCTCCAGGACATCAACGACACCACTCATCCAACTCTCCCAAGACGCGGGATCCTCCTCATCCTTGAAGAACTTCAGCCATCTCAGAAGAATACGATAAGATCCTTTCTTCAATCCCAGCCCCTTCGAAGCCGTAATGTCAAGGATGCTGTAAGACCAACTGGACTGATAGTTCGTCCTCGGAAGCCATCCCTCCTGGATTTGAATTGAGCCGAGGATAGGGACTCCTGCCACCGTCCCGTTCTCCACCATCGTAGTCTCTGTGAGGTTGTCAAGTTTGTAGTCGGGATCGAAACCATACCAGGTCGGGGTAAAATTGGTACTGGCACGGACGATGTCGAACCGGAACTTGCGCAGAGGTTGGAGCGAAGTGAAGTACGCTACAGGATAGTCCGGGTACTGAAAGTTGAAGGCGCGATAGTTTCCAAGGTCCTTCTTGTCACTGTTTGCAAAGACCTGGGGGGCAGAGAAGGGGTCGCGGGTGGTGGTCAAGGCATTGGCTTGCTGTTCGTCAGTCAGGGGCTTCAGGCCGACGACCGGCGCGCTGCTGTAGTTGTAGGCCGGTCCCATGTAGGGGATCGTGAAGCTCTCGTTGATAGATGAAATGATACCGATAAAGCCAGAAAATATTGGGATCAGACTGGCGTCCATGTTAGCTGGCAAAGTAACCTGGAAGGTCACGTTCTGAGTTCCTCCTGCGGCGATGGTAACTTGATCCCCTCCGACGAACTTGGCCTCAGCCGAAAACGGCTCAGAGATGAATCCAACCTCGGCGGTCCGTCCGGCACCAGCTGAGAATGATGCGGCTCCGCTGGCAGGGTTGTTCGTGAAGCTATATGTGACATCACCTTCCGAGGGGTTGTCGATACTGAATGTACCCTCCCGAACATCGATTAACTTGAGCTCCCCAGGTTGGATGACAGATTTGGAGGAAATAGCGTCGTAGGCCTGGATCAAGCCAGCTCCTTGTTGAACAGTGGATGCGACAGCATCGGCGTTCGCCCTCTTGACTTGCTTCGCCGTGGTTTTCATCAATTCAAAGATCTCGTCTATCGATAATGAAGGATATTGAGACTTGATCAATGCGTAGACGCCGCTCGTGTACGGAGTTGCCATAGATGTGCCGCTGATGATACCGAAACCGCCGCTATTCTCCATGAGAGGGAAAGTTGCGAGGATCATGCCGCCCGGAGCAGCAATTTCGGGCTTGAAGGCAAAATCCGCGTTGGGTCCTAGCATCCAAGAAATCAGTTCGGTTCTATGTGGCGCTTCATAGCAAGAGAAACGTACCGACGCTGCTAAAGTTGTTGGGGGATCCTCCGCCAGGCTGATCTACTAACAAGGGTGTCTGGGACGACACGAGCAGCTTGTAAGCTCCGGGACTCTTGGAAGCATTTGACAGAGTGTCATCGATAGTGCTACCCATAGGATAGATGTATCCATCAGCGGTCAGAGATGGTGTTGGAACGGCGTGGCCTTCGATGAAGATATCATCAACAGTCGGGTCTGGGTAAGTAAGTACCCGTGTGTAGTTGGCAGCAGAGGCATGTTGCTGAATTTGGGTTGGCGAGCAAGAGTAACTTCTCTTCACTACCAGAACGTAGTCGGAGATCGGCTCAGATAAGCTACTAGCAGGAGGATAGTCGGATGCCGAGCAGCCAAAGTTGTAGCCTGTGGTGTTTCTTCCTGCCCAAGCTACGGGATACTCTCCTTTCGGGAAAGGGTGAAGAGCTCCGTACCGAAACTCGGCGCCGTTGGAGTCCTTGATCGGGTATGTAGGGAACTTGGAGTTCTCCACCGACGCAACGCCGAGAGCATCGTCTGATCCTCCGGGGATGTTGATGGAGAACATTCCGATAGTGCCAGAGTTTCCGCCGGCAGCAATGACTGCAACCCCCTTAGCCTTCAGGGCTGCAGCCGCGGCCGAAAGAGGTGATCCAGGATAGCCGGACCAGGTACCGAATCCACCAATTGAAATGCTCACGACGTCTGCGCCATCTTCAACGGACTTCTGCATCGCAGCGACGATGGCGTCGTCTGACGTATAACCGGAACAACCGAAAACGCGGTACATGCCCAACGTAGCCTTGGGAGCAACTCCCACCAGGCCAGCAAACGTCGAAGAGTTCGAGGCTACGTCCATGCCGATGATGCCAGCGACGTGAGTACCGTGGAAGCCATCGAAGCAGCCCGGTCTTGGATCAGGTCCGGGAATCATGGTGTACCCAGAATCTCCTCCATATCCGTCGCCCACCAGATCAGAGCCGAACTCAACTTTGCATCCCTTTCCAAAGCAGCCGCCCAGAGCAGGATGCTTCCAGTCGATTCCGGTGTCAATAACAGAGATGCGAATGCCCTCTCCAAGGATGCCCTTCGCATGAACACGGTCGACCCCCGTCATTACATGCGGGCTGTTCCAGTCAATATCAGACGCTCGAGGCAAAACAGATCTCGGTCGAAAGCTACTCCCGCCATTGGTGGATGCCGTAGATCCGGTGTTGGCGCTGCCGATTGAGGGACCGTTTTCCGGAAGTCGGTACGGGTGCGCCACTTGCTGTACCGGAACCACATTTTCGACACCCGGAAGAGCCCGCAGTCTCTCGGCGTCGGCATCGTCGTCGAGAGAAACCGATGCGCCGTAGAAGACGCTCTTATCTTGGAATTCGAAGCGCACCTTCAACGGTACTGAAAGCTCGGCAGCTCTTTCAACGAGGGTTTCGGGACTCACACCCAAGCCATCGGTTGGTCCATTCTTCGAGATCTCGACGAAGTATGTTTTCGGCACTGCTTGAGAGGTGACCAGACTCAGGCAGTATGCTGCTGCGGCGGTAAAACGAGTGACGAGACGCATCTTCGAGGATGCCTCCAGGTAAGATCCCTGCCGCCTCAACGTTGCCAAAATGGAACGTGAAGATGCAGAGGCCAATTCATCTTTCCATTCCCATGCTTTTAGATATTCTGCACTGTCAACTCGGGGGACGATCCTCACGCCAATCTCCCTCCCGAACAATGCGAGCGCGGGATAGCCATTTGTGGGCCTCTCTAAATAGGCGGGGATTTCTCGTATTGGGAGATCACCAGCCCCTAGCGTCGTATTCTGTTCCCTGTCAAATGACCTCAATATCGACCGGTCAGCGGCTAAGACCGCTAAAGCCGTGGGTTCCGCGGGCTATCGTGGGGAACCTGGAGGTTGCAAAGACTTGCGAAGTTGAAATCGTTCGTACCTTCGAAGTTGATCAACTGAACGAGGACTTTTGCCCGGCGACAATGGCGATTTGCAATATTGCGAAACACTAACAGAGTCTCATACGTTTGTCAATGATACAATATTCCTTTCACCAAACAAATAACCTAGTTGAGATGCATTGATCGTAACCTAATCAACACATGTTCCCTTGAGATGGTGCACTGAGGTCCACGGTCAAGTTGTCAACTCCCGATGATCATATTCGCTAACCTTCGGCCCACGGATTCTTATAGACTTCTTCCGAGAAGCCAACTTCCGTATTTCCCAGATATTGGAGCGACGCAACCGAGGGCGAATCAGACATGTCGCTGGAAACACTGGACTTGGAAGGCCATGTCTTGACCGCCTCATCCTCACTCAAGTCCTGTTGCTGATCTGGCGTCATCTGATCGATGTCCCTTCCGTCGATTGAGGAGGTTGTTGACGCCCATGAGTCAGAGATATATGGCCGTCTACTTGAGGACGGTGTCACTGATATGAAAGACGCGCAATTCGAAGTTTCGTCGCCGTAATAGGGACACAGGTGCTCCATTCCCTTCCAAATCTCCTCGAAATCGGCACGCGAGTACCAACCTGGGCGGTACACAGCATGTCGTGGGGTTTCCCGGGCAAAAGCCTCCACTTCGGAGTGATATCCGCAGTAAGTAAGAACGAAATCCCACATATCTCTCGCGTAACTGCCCTGCTTGTTGTTCTTCTTTGCTGCGTCCCAAATTGACAGACCGGCATCATCGCGAGCGTGAATATCCGCACCATTCTGGATGAGGCATATCAACGATTTTCGATCATCCTCAGATGTCCAGCCCGCTCTTCGTATTTCAGAGACAAGGCAGTGGAGACTCGTACGCCCTTCTTCATCTCTTGCGTCAACATGTGCACCTTAGTCAAGCAGAGCTTGCATTTCAGCAAACTCAGAATTGCAATAGCATTCATGCAACATAGATCCGCCTTCTTCCAATTCCATGTTAACATCAATAAAGATAGCACAATGTTTGATAAAAGTGCAAAAGCGGCCCTAAAGTGAATAAGCAATTGTCATGGCCATGATCTTCACATTCTCTAATCTCAGGGGCTTACCTCTCTTCGTCGGTTGAATAAAACAGATTGCCACAGACAGTGATATTCGATTCGTTTGCCATAATCGGGTGGGCGTTCCCACACTTGTTCCGACTCTATTGTGAGGTCCGCACCTGCCAGTATTAGCATCTCAAATATGCGGTCAGTCGATGCCCGAGATGCGAGAAATGTA